CTGTTGGGGAGACTTCTAACAGCGGGGCAGAGGTCCAAAGAGTGGTGTTTTAGTGTATGGCAACAACAAATATAGTGAGGCTACGATGGAGGTGGTGGGATAGGTGGTAGATTTATTATTATCGGTTTTAGATTGAGGGGGTGTGGAGAAAGAAAAAGATCCATTTTTCTTTTCTTTTCTTTTCTGGTCATTTTTTTTTTTTTTTGGGTTTTTGATTTAAGTTTTCTAGTTGGTTAATATGATAAATAAAAAGTTACCATTTTGTCATTTTAAAATTGATTAAAAGGGGGTCAAAATTTATTTTGATCGTCAAATGATGACATTTTTAATGAAAATCATCTAAAAGGTCCTCACATGCAACGTTTGAAAATGTTAGGGGTAACAATTGCAACAAATAAAAGGTTTGAAAAATTCTGCTAATATTTCAAAAGTTTGGGACTTTTGCTTCAATTATCCCTAAACATTTGGAAGGTGACATATTAGGCCCCACATGGTAGAATTTTTTTAGTTAATAATCCATTGGTGGATGATGACATTGAGATCCAAATACTAGAACTTCGGATAAGTTCCGCTCTTATTTGATTTTTTTGAAAATTAAAATTTTAGCAACTTTTGATAACAGTTGTGAAAAGTTAAGAATAATTGTAGGTCTTATTAAATACGTGGCTAATATTAATTGTTAACTTTGATATAAAATTTTATCGATTTTTAGCTAATCAAATATAGGTTATATTTTGAAATGAAAAATAATTATTAATTTTATTTTTTTTGAGAAAAATTTATGCAATTTGTCCATTAAGGTCGAGTGGACATTATTAAAAAAGAGAAAAATGATAAATTTAGCTTTCTTAAAGTTGTCTTAGTGGAAAAGGAAAAACTATTATGGTTCATATTCATGCATTTGCATTTGACAGTCACATCAGCGGTGAAATTTTTTTATCATGCCCGTTAAGAGCAAAAGATCAATTTCATTGCTTTTGAATAATGCCATTAGCACCGGTCTATATATTATGTAATATTTTCAATTAAATGTAAAATTATGTCATTTATTTAATTATATATTTTATTTAATGACACTTTGTACCACTTAAATTGATGTTAAATAACATTATTCTTATTCAAAATGAGGAATAACTTACATCATATTAAAATATATATTTGTATGCTTCACAAGAGAACTAGTGAATGTGCACAAAAGTCAATCTTTCATTATCATATCATTAAAGAATAATTATATTACAATTTTAACATTCTCGTGAAGTTGAAAACATTACAAATTTGCAAGTCAAGTTGAAGTGGTAAACAATTTTTAGCATCACATCTTTTTCATTCAAAATCATACATAAGACTTCTATTTCAAATGGCTATGAAATAACAACACATCTTTATCTTAAATTGGAATAAATTTTCGAGTCAAACTAATCGATGCTGTAAAATTAATGGTTATCAAAACTAAGATACGAATCAGTTTGCATTCTAAGTTGTGTGCTAACGTTCAATATTTTTTATTTTTAGTAAAATAGCAATGTTGCACGAATCGAAGGCATGGTCGACAATAAACATTATTATTTGAAGAGAGACTCTCAAGGCAAATGTCCAATATTGACATCAACTAAAATTAACTATTCAAATGAATAACAATAGCGGGTCAACACATAATAAACTTCATATTGTTCAGTGTTTATTTGGAAAGTATTTTTTTTAAATTCATTTTTAATCAAAAACTTTTTAATTAAATAATTTTGCTCGTAGACCCTTAATATTTCTTTACTTTTTAACCATGCACACTTAAAAAAAAAAAAAAAAAACCATTTTTCCCGTCAAATAATTCTTCCAAACAAACACTCAATGATGAGTGATTGTTGTCAGAGCAATATTATAAATAGAATAATTTTGACATCATAATTGACAGTCCTCTCACATACGAGAAGTAGGCCCCACGATTAAAATAATCGCGAACCCTGCGATTATGAGAGTGTTGTACGTGTTCAGCACTATACACACATCATTTTCCTTATTGTTAATAATTTGGTCTAGACCCTAGAGCCTTTCAAAAAGTCCAAATTATAATATTTAGCACCTGTTTATGCTTCATTATTTCGCTTAATAATGAAATGAATAGTAATTTTTTGAAAGTACGTGGTTAAAAAGAAAGAAAAAGCATTTAGATTTACAAGTAATATATATATTTTTTAAGATACGTGATTGATAAGAAGAGAGACAAAAATGAATTTTAATTTAGGTACCGTTATTTAAATCTACAATTTTTATATATGCATCCCTATTGAAATATTAAAATTTTAACAAATTACTATTTTCATCCACATCAAATTTTTATATTGTCCTTGTTAAATTCATTCATTTAAACATGATAGATTTGTATAAATTCTATATATATTCATCCCACTATAAATATATTCTTAATAAAATTTCGAAAATGACTATATTCATCAAATCACTATTAACATTTATTTTGGTTTTTTTTTCTATATTGTCATGTCGGTGCTTTAAAATTTAGTAATAAAGATTAGAGAATTTCTTTTTTTGAATTTATATGATTCTCTCAAAAATATACTGCTCACATAACCAAACAAATTCCTCCTCAAATCATATATCAATTAATTTTTTTCTTATAAACTCATGATTTTGACTGTTTGTATTTTAGCTGATAATTTTAAGTTTATTTCTTTTTACAATGTAAAAATACTTGGGCAAGTATTGAAACTTATTTTGAAATTTCATCTATCAAGTCAATACTTGAAAAAAAGCATAAAAAATAAGTATTCATTTTTCATATCATGAAGAAATTATAACTTCAATAATGTGTTCATTTTTTATTTTTAATTTCCATTGAAGAGGATATTTTATGATTTTAGTTAAAGATGACGTTTTATGATTATTAGAATTTTAATTAACCACAAACTCTAAAAAAATATAAAAAAATTATGAAAATAAACATCAGTGGATGAATTTAGAACAATATATTTTTATTTAATTTTTCATGTCTATTTAGGTAAATTTATATAAGATAAAAAATATAATATAATTATTTTTTTAAAAGTGAATGTAGTATATATAAAAAAATGTAGATTTGAATAGTAATACATTTTTAATTTAATAGATGTGAATAGATGTCAAACAGGGGCTTACTCTTAAAACTAAGGTCTCATTTGGAACACATTAATGTAAAAATAAAAAATATAATCATTACGGGTCCTACACAAGAGATAGAAAGTCAAATATGATGGATTGATATCATAAATAACGATCGTATTTTTTATTTTAATAGACAAATAATGAGAAACAAACGGGAACTATACATCCATTTTCAACTTTCAAAAGACACACCATTTTTCAAATCGTTGAAAATTGCTTAATTAATAATCATATTGTACTAAATCTTTCACATAATCACTCGTGTAGCATGCTATTTATCACCATGTCACATCAAGAAAGTATTAAAATAAAAAATATGAATTCAACATTGTAATAAATTAACAAACATTGATTTCTCATTTTCATTTTTGGAGTGCTATGATTGTTTGTGTAACATTTACGTGAAAGATCAGTTATGATTCGAGTGCCAACTGAATAATTTCCAGCAATTTGGGTAATCACGTTCACGGATAACCAAATGTAACCAAATTGTGAAATTTAAATTTAAATTCAAATTTAGCCCTCATTAAATTACATTTTATTTTTCTCTCTCTTATTTTCAGTTACACAATTTTTCATAAAATAAAATTATACGTGAATCGAAAATTTTTCTTTCTTTCTCAATTACTTATTATTCAAAAAAAAAAAATTATTTCACCCATTTTTATTTAAAAAATGGGGACCAGGCTTAGTTAGTTGGCGGAATAAGACATTTTGTTTTCTATACTTTCCAACTACGACTATCGTAGAGACGGATTGGTACGATAACTTTCACATTAATACTCTCATGTGCATACTATGACGTGGAGAATATTTATGGGAACATAAACCGATTTTTCCGCTATCCTTCTAGATGGTCAAATGGGGTTTCCTACTTTATTAGGCGGTTGTGCCCATGTCTATTCGCATGTTTGGTTAAATTTTAAAAAAAAATAATAATAATAATAATAAAACTCGTGTCTTATTGTTGAAAAAATTTATCATTCTTTCTTTGATGAATAAAAAATAATATCATTAATATAATTGATAAATAAGAAATATTATTTTTATTATAACTAAATTTCTTGAGCTTAGGAAAACATGCTCTTATCATTTTTATTTTTATTTTTTTGTATAATTTCTTGTAATTGTCATGTACATTGTTAATTTATATTATTTGTGACCGCAAAGTTAGACAGTTTACTATTCACGAAAAACAACTAAAAATCTACTATAAACGAAATAAGTAGAAAAGATAGACTTTCGGATAATTTAAATTTTATCATTTTATTGGATAGGATTTTATTTTATGTTATTCAAATAAGCAGTTCATTTTATTCATTGTTATCGGTTAGAAGTTTTTTTTGGAGTTAAAGATTACATTTTATGAAAAATTATTGAGTCAAAATTATATATTTTTCTCTTTCGTTTTTTTTTTTAATCTAAATGTCTCTTTCTGATTAAGTTCTACGTCGACAATATAAAAAATCGAGTTTTCATTCCGTTTTTAATATCATCCATTGAGATACAGTCCACTATAATTGTTGTAGTATTCTATTTATTTCGTTAACATTGTTTCTTGCGGAGTTAAGAATTATGAATCTAAAATCTAGACGATTAATAAATAAAAGTTTTTATAATAGTAAACTAGACTTAATATGAGTTATTCGATGTCTAAATAAGAATTTTTTTTAATTATTATTATAATTATTTAAAAAAAATTAACTTTTTGTAAGTTTCAAGCTTAAGGGAATATTTATTTATTTTATTTTTTTAACTGATTTATCCAACATTGCATGGTCCGGTAGAAATGAAGAAAAATCTGTGCTCCGCAAGTTGTACATAAACCTAAATCCGGTAATCATTCGTCCACTGCGAAGAGGCCAAGAGACGCCACCCCGCAGATTTCAAAAATCCCATCAAACTGAAAGTTACACTCCGGAAAGTGATGCTCCAATATTCAGCCACCTCAGCTTCCATCCAAGATATTTATCGAGAGAGAGAGAGTATATTTTGCCTGACTTCCATTAGTTCTTTACATATTGGTCGATGTGAAGAGGCGATTTAGCTCGTGGGTTGGATGAGTTCTTTGAAGCTTTAGTATAAAGCGGGTTTGAAATCAAGCAAGAGGGTTTATTATTTTATATTTTTTGAGATTTTTTCTTCCAATCATGGCGGCAAATCTTGGCTGGGATGAGCTAGCAGCAGCCAGATCCCTAAGCCCGAGATCCGGCAGTCGGAGACTCAGCTTTGCATCTATCAGTACGAGGAGTTGGGCTTCGGCTAGCGTCCGAGAAGTTTTTACTGCACCAGGACAGGATGCTTTTCACAGAAGTGGGAGAGAGTATGATGATCAAGATGAGCTTATGTGGGCTGCCATTGAGAGGCTTCCCACGTATGATCGTGTAAGAAAAGGAATTCTTAAACAAGTGTTGGATGATGGGAAAGTTGTTCGTGAAGAGGTTGATGTTGCCCATCTGGGAAATCAAGATAAGAAGTTGCTAAGGGAGAACATTCTTAAAGTCGTCGAAGAAGATAATGAGAGGTTCCTCCAGAGACTAAGGGATAGGACTGATAGGTGAGAATAAAGCAATTTACTCTATGTATTAATGACTTTGTGGATGCTAAAAATTCTAGGTGTTCAAATTTTTGCTTTTATGAGATGATAACTCCTAATTTTTTTAGTCTGAATTGGATCTTTGAAACTCTCCTCTTTTGTTCATTAGGGTTGGAATCGATATACCCACGGTAGAAGTTCGTTATGAGCATTTGTCTATTGAAGGAGATGCATATGTAGGATCAAGGGCACTTCCTACTCTGCTGAATGCGGCCTTAAATCTGGTTGAGGTAATTGATTTATTTCTTACAGTGAATTTTCAACGGTATGAACTTATAATTGAGATTGGATTTCACACGCTTTTTAGACTCTTTTTATTTTATTTTATTTTATGTATATTGATTATGATTTAAGTTTTCATGTTGAATCGGTTTTCATTCAAGTTTCAGGTCAAGGTAATGTATCTGTTCTCGTGCAAGTTTATTTTTAATCCTTTTCTGTCTTCAGGGAGTTCTTGAAAGAGTGAAGATTCTCCCTTCCAAGAAAAGGGTTGTCAAGATACTTCATGATGTCAGTGGAATCGTAAAACCATCAAGGTTTGTTAACGTAGATCATATAGATGCTGCTGCCATAAGTAAACATTTGACTTGTCATACTAAGTTTATGCAATTTTTCATTATGCTATAGAAAGAAGTTACAAGAAACATAAGATCTTGTGATACAGCTTTATCTTTGAGTTTTGCATGATGAGACCTGGAGTTTGACGAGTATTTATGACATGAAACCGTGTGCATAATGATGTAGCCAATTGAATCGTGTGATCAAATTCATCTCTTATTTTTGTGCTTTTAGGTTGACACTGCTTCTTGGGCCTCCCAGCTCTGGGAAAACTACATTGATGAAGGCACTTGCTGGAGAGCTGGAAAAGGGTCTTAGGGTGCGTGGTCCTTAATCATATGATTATTGTGCCTGTTTGTTATGCACTAGTGGTTAAGACTGGATGGTAAAATGGACAAGATTTAAGCCCTTTTTTCATCCTTGATGTTGTCCGATGCTACCTTGTCCTCCCTACCCAATCCTCCCTTTCAGACATGCCAACCAATAGTGCGTAACTGTTTGTTGACTTCTATTCCCTAAATCACTCCTTTCTACAAATTCTGATGGCAGGTATCGGGGAAAATCACGTATTGTGGTCATGAAATGTCAGAGTTCATTCCCCAGAGGACTTGTTCTTACATCAGCCAGCATGACCTTCATCATGGAGAGTTGACTGTCCGAGAAACATTGAATTTTTCGGGGCGTTGTCTAGGAGTCGGAACCAGATATGACCTCCTTGTAGAATTGTCCCGGCGAGAAAAAAATGCGGGAATCAAACCTGACCCCGAAATAGATGCGTTCATGAAAGCCACAGCATTGGCAGGACAAGAATCTAGTTTAGTCACGGACTATGTTCTCAAGGTTGTTTCCTCGTAGTGTTGAAAATTTCTTGTCAACTGAAGTATTTATATCAAACTAATGGTTGTCACGGAAAAATTACAGATACTTGGTTTAGACATTTGCGCTGATATAATGGTGGGAGATGAGATGAGAAGGGGAATCTCTGGTGGACAGAAGAAGAGGCTCACAACTGGTTTGTGAACAGGATCCAATTGATTATTAATTCCAGTATTTCCAAATTTTATAAAGCTAACTATTTTGTCATTGTGATCAGATTTCAGTAAGTTTATTCTCATTTTTATGTTTTGGCTCAAATGCAGGAGAGATGTTGGTTGGACCAGCGAAAGTTTTCTACATGGATGAGATCTCAACTGGTCTTGACAGTTCAACAACATTTCAAATAATCAAGTATATGAGACAAATGGTTCATATCATGGATGTTACAATGATAATATCGCTTCTCCAACCCGCCCCCGAAACGTTTGAACTTTTTGATGACATCATTTTGCTTTCAGAAGGAAAAATTGTCTATCAGGGTCCTCGTGAAAACATCCTTGAGTTTTTTGAAAGTGTTGGGTTCAAATGTCCAGAAAGAAAAGGAGTTGCAGATTTTCTGCAAGAGGTTACTTCTAAAAAGGACCAGGAACAATACTGGTTCAAGAAGAATGAACCTTATAGCTATATCTCAGTAGATGAGTTTGTGGAACGCTTCAGCTCTTTCCACATTGGGCAGAAGCTTTTTGACGATCTATCAATTCCATATGACAAAACTAATGCCCATCCTGCTGCATTAGTAACTGATAAATATGGAATATCCAATATGGAACTCTTCAAAGCATGTTTGGCAAGGGAATGGTTATTGATGAAACGCAACTCGTTCTTGTATATATTCAAGATATTCCAGATAACTATTATGTCAATTATAACCTTTACAGTGTTCTTCCGAACAGAGATGAAATCTGGCCAAATCGTAGATGGACAAAAATTTTATGGTGCACTGTTTTTCAGCCTCATTAATGTGATGTTTAATGGCACAGCAGAACTTGCCCTGACAGTTATTAGACTTCCTGTGTTCTTCAAACAAAGGGATGCTCTGTTTTTCCCTGCTTGGGCTTTTTCTTTACCAATTTGGCTTCTTAGGATCCCCCTCTCTCTAATGGAATCATTAATATGGATTGTTCTTACTTATTACACTATTGGTTTCGCTCCTGCTGCCAGTAGGTATGTTCTTGCACTTTGATCTTGAAATCCTGGAAGAACACATGCTTACAGAAACATGAGATTAGAAATTTACAATCTTATTGTCTCACCTCATATTTTTCAGATTTTTCCGCCAACTACTGGCATTTTTTGCTCTACATCAAATGGCTTTATCCCTCTTCCGTTTTATTGCCGCACTTGGAAGAACACAAGTTGTTGCTAACACTCTTGGTACCTTTTCACTACTAATGGTCTTTGTCCTTGGTGGTTTTATTATTGCCAAAGGTTAGTTTCACGTCTCTCCATTGTTAACACTTCTTATTTTATATGTGGAAGTGTTGTTTATGTAATAACATATACAAATCTATGCATAAAAGTTTGAGTGTACATGTTTTTCATCGCATGCATGACCTTTACATAAATGATTTACATATGCAGATGACATTGAACCATGGATGATATGGGGCTATTACATTTCTCCTATGATGTATGGACAGAATGCTATAGCCATTAATGAATTTCTTGATAAGAGATGGAGTACTGTAAGTTCTTTTGGTAGTTTGTGGATTTTACTTTTGGTATCGTTGGGTTCTGCATTTACATGTTTGATTTTCTTAATATGTCTTCTTTTTTTGTCTCTTTCTTAGCCAAACACCGATCCAAGATTTCCCGAACCTACAGTTGGGAAGGTTCTTCTTAAGGCAAGGGGCATGTTTATGGATGACTACATGTATTGGATATGTGTTGTTGCACTCTTTGCATTTTCCATTCTCTTCAATATCTGTTTTATTGTGGCACTGACATACCTGAATCGTAAGATATAGCTCTGCTCTTTTAATTTCCGTCAGAATTGTTGAGTCTGATTCTACTTCTGACCATATAATATAAACTTATGCAGCCTTCGGCAATTCGAAATCTGTTATTGTGGATAAGGATAATGAAAATAAGAAAAAGAAGGATCCAGTCTCTAATGAAAGATCAACTACCGAGAGTTCTTCAGGCTCCGCTGCTCCAAAGTCTGAAGGTCTGAGATTGTATCCTGTGATACTCATGTTTTCAATTTGCAATGTCTTTGGATCTTCTAAATGTGATTACACGATACTGAGTTATACGAAAGATCAGATTGGTGCTTAGATTGATTAGTACAAAATAAAGTTATCGTGTGCAGAATTGAACAAAAATATCTGAATCTCAGTTGATTTCTTATAGATTATGCAACTTTGTCTTCGCTGTTCTTGGATTATGCTTTTCAAGAGTTGTACTATTTGAATTTGAGGTAAAACTAGATCCAAAATGCTTTCCATGGATTGAGTCTATGTGAGTTTCACCCAAACAAATTTGAAGAATACTAGGTCCTGAAGGAATTATCTTGTATAATTATTAAGAGATTCTACATGTCATTGTCAGAATAATGTCATCACTTCTTTCTTTGTAGCTTTTTTATTCATGATTGTACTGTGCTACCTTTTCTTGGTTGTCTTCAATTTAGTCTGATAGGCCCATATGATTGCAGGTATAGATATGACAGTGAGGAACAAGTCCGAAGGAAACAATTCTGGAGAGAGCTCAACCAAGAAAAAAGGAATGGTGCTTCCTTTCACACCCTTGTCTCTCGCTTTTGACCATGTGAATTACTACGTTGATATGCCGGCAGTAAGCACTTCTTCTGAGTTATACGCTTCCATGATGCATCCTTCTATCTATAGTATTGCAAGTAAGGCAATGAAATCTTACAAAAATGAATTTTTGCCAGGAAATGAAAAAGCAAGGAATTGAAGAATCTCGTCTTCAACTCTTGAGAGATGTAAGTGGTGCTTTCAGGCCAGGGGTCCTAACTGCATTAGTTGGTGTTAGTGGTGCTGGGAAGACCACCTTGATGGATGTGTTGGCAGGTAGAAAAACTGGTGGATACATTGAAGGAAGTATCAATATTTCTGGTTATCCAAAGAACCAATCAACTTTTGCTCGCATCAGCGGTTACTGTGAACAAAATGATATTCATTCTCCCCACGTAACAGTGTACGAGTCCCTTCTGTACTCTGCTTGGTTGCGTCTTTCTCCAGATGTGAACAAGCAAACACGAAAGGTTTGTCAACTTGCAGGGGATCTTTGTTACTTTTCACTGCAAGAGGTGGCCTACATCCGATGATATTTTTTGCCTTTGATTTGAGTTAGTTTCAACTAATGATCTTTTCTCTGTTAGATGTTTGTTGAGGAAGTAATGGAGTTGGTCGAGTTGAATCCCTTGAGAGATGCTTTAGTTGGTCTTCCAGGAGTAGATGGTCTGTCAACTGAACAGAGAAAGAGGCTCACCATAGCTGTAGAACTGGTTGCGAATCCATCCATAATCTTCATGGACGAACCCACATCTGGTCTTGATGCTAGAGCTGCAGCAATTGTGATGCGCACTGTACGAAACACCGTAGATACCGGACGAACTGTTGTCTGCACTATTCACCAACCAAGTATAGATATTTTTGAAGCTTTTGATGAGGTATTATACGTTCAAATCTTTTCAGAATGTCTGGTAGAGTGGATTGGACGGTATGTACAATATTGAGGCAGAAAAAAATGTTAAAATCTTTTCTATTGTACTGTCGAGTCCCATCGCACTGCATGACAAACATGCCCTTAAGTTTTAGAATTTCACTTTGTGAATAGTTTCTCAGCTTCTTGTTCTTAAATCGCAAAAATATTTTTCCTGCAGCTATTGTTGATGAAGAGAGGAGGACAAGTTGTTTATGGTGGACCTCTTGGTCATCATTCTTGCTTGTTAATAGAATATTTTCAAGTAAGTATTTCTGGGTGATAAAGATAGTGTTTACTATTTAGCATGTTTATGTGATTCCTTCAGCAAACCCAGCGTATGGAAACCATTTTTAGTCTTTATTTTTTATTTTAAACTCGGAATTGAGCATGCCTCTCTTTTTCTAGTCTATACCTGGGGTTCCAAAGATCAATGAAGGTTACAATCCTGCTACTTGGATGCTTGAGATCAGTACTCCTGCAGTTGAGGCTCAACTTAATGTGGAGTTTGCCGAAATTTATGCCAACTCTGATTTATACAGGTAAACATAGAACACGAATTCTGTGTTGTTTATTTTCTGGTTTTACTTTTCTACCTAAAATCCCGAATCTCTCTTGCTCTTGTTCTCAGGAGGACACAAGCACTTATCAAACAGATCAGCTCTCCAGCCCCAGGGTCCAGTGACCTGTATTTTCCTACAAAATATGCCCAATCCTTTATATCTCAGTGCAAAGCTTGCTTCTGGAAGCATTACTTGTCTTACTGGAGGCATCCTCAATACAATGCCATTAGGTTTTTTATGACAACAATTATTGGGATTATATTTGGAGTTATTTTCTGGAAGAAGGGGAGAAATATGTAAGTTCCCTAATAAACAGTGACACAAGGTCTGTCTTCTTTTTTTGATCTTTTATTTTACATCCCATCATTTCTTTAATAGGTCTAAACAACAAGACCTCATGAATTTACTCGGAGCTATGTATTCTGCTGTTATGTTCCTTGGAGGAACAAATACTTCTGCTGTGCAATCGGTTGTAGCAGTTGAGAGAACCGTCTTTTATCGTGAAAAGGCAGCAGGAATGTATTCGGCATTACCTTATGCATTTGCTCAGGTAACGGAAACTTAGTATCATGAATAATCCAAATCCATGCTCAATTTGTCTAAAACATATTGACTTGATGATGTAAAAACTAATTCTGTTTTATCATACATGCAGGTGGCTATTGAGACCATTTACGTCGGTATCCAGACTTTCATATATAGCCTTCTCCTTTACTCCATGATCGGATTCCACTGGCAAGCTGACAAATTCTTTTGGTTCTATTTCTATGTATTTATGTGTTTTGTCTACTTCACATCATATGGAATGATGCTTGTGGCACTCACTCCAAGTTACCAGATTGCTGCAATTGTCATGTCGTTTTTCCTCAGCTTTTGGAATTTGTTCTCCGGTTTCCTTATCTCAAGAACGGTAAGTAAATCAAGGAATATGACAAGTAATATTCAGTGTTTATTTGTTGAGTGTGGTTCCTTGGGGGAAAAATGATCAAAAAGTAAAATGAAAGTATGAATCTACTTTTGTACAATCAGTATGACGCATGTAAGCAGAGTTATGCTTATGTCCTTGCTTGGGAAGGTACAATGAATACATTGTAGAACAAAGAGTTGTAGTTAGTCGCAACCATTTCATGCAAAACATTAATTGAACAATTTTGTAGGATGCATGCTTTCTTCCCTGGACAAGAAATTAAAAATAAAATAGTAGAAAATGACTACTGAGCAAATAAAATCACCAAAAGTAGAACAAATACCATACTAAGTTTATATAAAACCAGAGTTTAAACTTTAAAGACTAGAGATAGTTACTTGTTTAAATTGACAGCGTGAAACTTTTATTATGTCTATAGAGTATGAAGGGTTTTTCTGAAATCACATTAGGAATTGGTTCTGTTCAAGTTACAATCTTTATTTTTAAACTTAGCCTATTTGTAGCTCATGTTTATAATCTATTTATAAACACTCAGGTCACTTTTATCCACTCATTTCGAGAGATCTAAAAGTATTATCCACTTATATATAGCTCATTTCTATCTATTTATAATTTAAACAGTTTATAAACACTTTTCAAACATACTTTTAATACAATTTCCAAATTCTGAAACGTTTCCTAATTTTCTTAGTTAAACTAACTTTGTGCTGGTTAAGAATGATAAACAGTGTAATTAGTTCTTTTAGAGACAGAATATGAATTCATATTCGTTTGTGTGTTATTGTTATACGATTGTTGGAACAAGATTGATTTTAAGCCACGCTTGCACGAGACTGAACTGGGGTTTTTTCACACAATAAATTTTCTGATCTTCTATCTCAGTAGTGCTGTTCAAATGCTTGTTCCTTTTTTAACTCAACTATATGTTAACTGCTTTTGATAAGTTTCTTCACTGATAAAGTCTTATTGTTCTTGAATGCTTGATGTTTTAGGAAATCCCAATATGGTGGAGGTGGTATTACTGGGGTTCTCCAGTCGCATGGACAATATACGGGCTTGTGACATCTCAGGTGGGTGATAAAACTGAACCAGTAGAAGTGCCGGGCCTTGGTGATATTCCGTTAAAGGATTACCTTAAGAGTTTCCTAGGTTTCGAACATGACTTCCTTGGAGCTGTTGCTGCTGCACATGTTGCCTGGGCGGTCCTTTTCTGCTTTGTCTTTGCCTACGCTATCAAGTACCTGAACTTCCAAAGGAGATAAGGGGAATTCTTGAATTTCAGTAGAATTCTGGACATACACATTCTTGTATGGTGAACTAGAATAGATAAAGAAACGGATCTCTGTGTACGATTTAAAAGCAAATTTCTGACAGCAATGTGTAATTTAATACTGATTTTCAAATAAAGGTTTTGCCAAGTTTAAATAAAGCTTCCTGTCGGACAGCTAGTTTATGTATCAAAGTTTGATTCTCTATTTTGGTCTCAAGTTGAAAGACGAATTATGTGATTAATCGCGGCTTTGGCTTCAAAGAGCTGGAAAATTTTTGGTATTAAGTATCAGGGACAAAGGAGTGTTTGAAAATCTGGAAATCAGAAAGATGAATTTCATGGGAACTTTGAGAATAGGATTTCTCAGTAATACATCGTATTTGAGTTTTATGCCACTTGATATCATCTTGTGTGCGCATATAAAAGGTTGGCGTATGTGGTAGAGACAAAACTTCCGATTCAGCCACCTCCTATTCATATTCAGTTCCCAAGTCTTCCATCAACACTCTTTCCGTTACGCAATACCAAGTTTCTGAGATCGACGCATTCATGAAAGCCATTGCAATTGCTGGCCAAAAGACTGGTGTGGTCAGAGACTGTACTTAACGTTTGTTTCGTGCCTACTTTAGTTACCACGTCTGTTGAAAAATGAGCCGACAACTCATAGACAATGGCTTAGTTAAGGGAACCGGGGGTCGAGTTTTCAGCTCAATTTATGTCAACTTAGGTAACTTGAAAAGTAAATTTAATTATTCATAATTTTTTGAACAACTTAGCAGTGGCGGAGGGAGGTGGAGTCAGTGGGGGTCTCTGTCCCACTTAAATGTTAGAGGAGAATTTATTTTTCTCTTTTACTTATAATATTGCAACATTTTGTATTTGAAAAAAAAAAAAAAAAAAATCATGACACAGAACAGAACTGCGCATCTCTGGTTTTATATTATTCATCAAGATTTATGTGATAGTATGCAAAAGGTTACAATCTAGACATATTTTGGTTCAAAAGGTAATCAATAGACAGAGAAATAAAAAAACTCGGGAATTTCCTTAAAGAACTGCTGTTACTAATTTACTATCTTATTTTTCCAACTGATAATCTGCAACTGGATTGCTTTTTTTAAAGCTAAATTGGATCGAGGCTTCATGAAACTTGCTGCTAGTTGTAGTCAACTGTAAGACAAGTTCGTCCATCATCCGTTTGAAGTAATTTCCCTGCGAAAAAAAGAATAGGCATTGAATTGGTTTTCAATCATATTGCTAGTTTAATAGCTTGCATTTCTGCAAAAAATTTTGTGGTGATGCCAATATTGACATGTTGTATTGAACTATTGCTAACAATTCTTTGAGGGATTCGAACAACTTAACTCGAATACAGAAAATAATTTCAGCTGCTTAAACTTTGTGCAATTCCCCGGTGCAAAGGAATTGAAGCATGCGTATTCATAGATATTTGTGGCAGAGATTAGAGAATGAGTACAAGTTGAAGTGAAGTATGAATTCCTGTTTTCATCTTATCTTTAAATGATGCAAATGTAATATCTTGAAAACAGAATGAATAACAGAAAAATGATTTTATAACATTTTTTAAACAGAAAAGTTGAATTATGGTATTTTACATAAGGTTCTATTAAAATAACATCATGCAGTCACATTAATTTTGCAGATATTTCCAGCTGATACAAAACTGACAGAAAATGAAACCAAATTTCCTCTCTACTGTGTGTTTATGTTCTGCATTCATAAATGTTAGCCGAATTATGCAAAGAGGGATGATATGAGATTTTCCAATATCTTTCAGTCTTGCATTCATCAAGCACTAATTCATCAGATGTTGCATGACACGCTGTTTACAGAAAGAGCTCTAGACACTGGTGAGTGTTCCTATGAAACCTATATTAATAGATTACTATGATCATAATCACAGAAACAACTTTCTCAAGTGTACTGAAGCATCTGTACTCTCTCTCTCTCTCTATATATATATATATGTGTGTTGTGTGTGTGTGGTGACAGGTTCTTGTAGTTTAGACGAGTATTAAGTGCTAGGAACTAAGAATCCCTGATGTAATCTTATGTTCAACTGATACTGATACAAATGCTTCTCTCTTCAAAACAGAAGGATTCTATTAACATAACTTCAGGCATTCACATTAAATTTGCAGATAATGCCAGCTGATATAAAAATTGAATGAAGATTGAAGTGAAATCTCTTCTAGACTGTGTTATGTGCTACGTTAGTTTATATTAGCCATATTATGCAAAAAGGGATAATTTGAGATTTAGAGCAAGACATATAGGCATTTGTGAGTGTTTCTATCAAGGCTATTTTTCTGAGATAGCTCTGCTATAAAGTTCATTATTATCCGAGTTTGGGTTTCGGCAACTTCATTTTGTTGCTCAAATTTGCAATCAGAAATATTTAGTACCTGCACTCTTCCCACAAAGTTGTGCAAGCTTCCGAACTACTCCATCCAGCTCTTCTTGACTTCTTAATCTTGTATTCTCTCTTTGTTCTCCGACTTTTCTCCTTACATTTTCCCCTATAGTCCCAATTACAATATCTTTGATCACTTTTGCTATTTCTTCTCTTTGAAGCCTCCCTTTCTCATCTCTGACAACCTCCACTCCTACACCAAGCTCCACCACAAGCTTGGCATTCAAAGGCTGGTCAAGATGCATGGGCATGGCAATGATTGGAACCCCAAATTCAATACTTTCCATCATAGAACCCCAACCACAGTGACTTACAAATCCACCAATACTTGAATGCCCTAAAATTTGTGTTTGTGGAGCCCATCCTTCCACAACCCTTCCTCTCTCTCCAATCCTCTTGAGAAATCCCTCAGGTAGTGCTTCTTCAACTCTAATATTCTCCCCCGCAGGGAACCTGATGACCCATATGAAGTTAACATTGCTAAGCTCTAATCCATATGCTATCTCTTCAATCTCTTCTTTTTTCAAGTAATACTCACTCCCAAAGGATACCAAGACGCTAGAAAACTCCTTTTTCTTCCCTAGCCATTCCAAGAGCTCGTTTTCCTCATTATGGCTAACCGGATAGGGAAAGAGTGCACCAACAGGCATAATCTCCCGGTTGATCATTTCAGAGAGATAGTCCATATATTTCCCTTCAATCTCTCTAGAGCTTTTCATTAACATGGTTTTACAGGCTTCTGGAGGTACCTTATCACCAGGGTCTTCCTCAGCAGCTTCTTTTCTGTAGGATATCATGGTCGAATACAACATTTGTTGCTCAAAATCTGAAAGGCGAATGGCCTCAAAGGGGTATTCAGTCCCTGGTTTCATTGAAACATGACAGAAATATGAAACCATCGTTGCACCACCAGTACAGAAAGAAATAGCTGGAATATCATGGGACAGTGAAAACGCTGCAGCCCATTGATATGTAACATCGTGTATTAACAAGTCCGGCTCCAGAGTTTTTAGGATATTGGATAAATTAGGCCTTGCCAATTTAAGAGCCTTTCGGAGAGTTGGTTGGAGATGCAGTGGAAGGCCATTGGTTGTGTGGTAGTGAGGAGGAAGTTCAGGCAAGGATGGAAGATGAAGTTCCACAAGTTGAATGGAATTGGAATACTTTTCGGGGATTTTAGTCTTAAAGAAATTGAGATTAACTGGGGTTGAACAAAAATATGTATGAATATTTCTGTCTGATAATCTCTTGGCCAACTCTAGAAATGGAGATATGTGACCATAGGCCAGCCATGGAAACATGAAAACCTTCAAACCTAAATTTTCTGAACCCATCCTCTCTCTCTCTCTCTCTCTCTCTCTCTATGTTTTTTGTCAACTTCTGTGTTCCGTTTCACGTTTACTTCAAAACATTTACGATTTCTTGAACAATGTGACATCTGAGGTTATTAAGGTTGGAAAGTATTGTGGATCTTAATCAAGAATATGCCTGTAGAGGCTTTATTTTAGTCAAAATTAAAATTCAGATATTAATTTGAATCAAAGTTAATAAATTAAATTTTACTACATATTTTATGGGATCTAAAACTTTTCAAAATCTGAAAGTTAATAAATCAAATTTAACTCCACTTTTTTGTGGGATTTATGACTTTTCAGTCACAGATTTCATCAACTTTTATCAACTAAAAAAATTAATTTTAATCCCATCAAACATGAGCTTAATTTTGAAATCTTGTCGTGAATCATGATCGATATTATTAATAGATGTCTTGTGTTGCAAGGCTGAAAATTCAATGTTGGAGATTGCAAAGTTTGGTAAACAAAGGTTACACAATAATAAAAATTTAGATATTCCAAAATCTGTCTAAACGAGTGACTGTCCAGCCGGCAATTTTGACAGCTCGCGTTTGCTTCAAAGCTTTTATCATTGAAATTTTCACAATCATTTGAGGCCATGGATTGCTACAACTACACGTAACAAACAAATTATTTCACACGCGTCTTGTTTAGTTCTTATTTATTATAAAATGTCAAACATTGCAATTAGTATTCAATTCCCTTCAAATCTAAAATCAATTGATTTTAGAGTGAAGTCCCATTGATTATTAGAGGCGTAAATGTGGCCCGTCCATAAATATACAAAGTAACCATTTTTAAGTACTCCAACAGACATTTTATATTTAACATCTAATTTTTCTTCAAAAAACATTTAGGACCTGTTTGATATGTTTCATCTTTCATAGAAAATGAATTTTTCATTTTCCACCCAAATGGTATGTTTGATGGGCAAAATTTTCCATGGAATTGGTTTTACCCAACCCCCACGTGACCACATTTTTAGGTTTTTAAGAAATTGATTTTCCTTTGGTTTTGATGAGAATTGGGTTTTCAAGCCTTTTTTTTCGACAACGGAAATATATTCTATCGACAATTGTAACAAATTATATCCCTTTAATTGACAATTTTCATGGAAAAGAAATAAAGTCTATTTCAATTTATTATTCATTCACCTAAATTAATTAATTCACATAAGTCGTTCTTGATTGACATTAAACAATGTGTCAGGACAATACATATGATCGAAAATATAAAGTATATGAGAAAATCAAACTTGTTCATTTAACGTAAAATTATAATCATTCCATCAATATAATCCGATTAATTACGAGATATGAGTGTGTCAATCTCGATTATTGATCATATCTTTCATCCCATTCTTAAGTCAACATTCAACAATAGCCAAACTCTTTTTGACTTGCGTATTTATCTTGGTCAAGAATTTCGATGTCAAATTAACCGAATGAAACGTAAATCATAATTTTTTACTATCCAAAGTGACAAATCATTTATTAATCATTCACAACCTTCATATAATTCTTAACATACCAGATCAAAGCCAATCATATTCTTTTACCATCTAAGGTGGAGCTTACGGCTGCGATAAGGGAGTGCATTGGCTGGTTGTGGAGGACGATGTTGATTGCCCGCCCTTTCATGCACTGTTTTATCAGCAACACTGGCGGCTTGTTGGAGATATCTGCATGTCTTGATATTCTCAATAGTTTGAAGTCGACGTTTAAAATACATTAAACACAAAGGCTAAGCTACGAATGACCAAGCATAGAAGACGTAGACTTGATCAGAATGGACCATGGCAAAGTGAACTTTAACAGAGAGGCTGTGGCATTCAGTAGAATGTAAACTGTATCAGAAGGTAAGATGTTCATGATCACATATTCATGTTCCAGTACCGCTCGTATCCCCACCAAGATTCAACTTACAACGAAAGGAAAGGGAGATAAAATAAGAAAAAAACGAAGGATCTACTATAAAGTCCAATATCAGAATTCCAGGCAGGATAATTGAGTTGCTCAAGTAGCAGATGGCTATCTATACATATTAGGTCGATATCGATCATCATATGAAGAGAAGCGAGTGACCGGTGGTACCCCTAATTCTGAACTTGGAAAGGTTCTTGAAATTCCTTCACTTGAAGGTAATCTCAGCGTGAAGTCTGGGAGGAAAGGATAAAAATCATTACTCGAAGAAGGAAGAACAATGTCCATGTGAGGATTACGATAGTTCAATCTATCAGAAGAGGATGGACCTGCACCTCCCAATCCAGACTGAGACAGCGACCCTTGCATAGAAACTCCTGGCCTGATTTCAGTAACAGAGCTCGGGGAAACATTGAGAAACTGGTCACCAACGAAAGCACTTCTAGATTCAACAAAATGATTTGAAGAAAATCTTTCACCAGCACCTTCTGGAGATATCTTTGTGAAACCAAACTGTGTACCACTGCCTGGACGGTTGCTTCTGTTAATCGCTTCAAACTCATTATCAGTTGGTAACCTAAAAAGACCAGGATAAGCAACGGGAATTTTGAACTTGTCCAGAGTGTTTGTTTCAGGATTAGATGGATTGACAATATTGCCAGAAGTTCCTCCGGGTACCAGCGGCGAGCTATTGAGATTTTGTTTCAATGACAATTTAGCTTGCTGAAGTTTCTCGAGGACAGAACCCAAATCAGTAAAAGTTTCTCGAGGAGTAACTGCAAGATCAGGGGACAAAGGGCTTCCTGAAGAGACATACATCGGCATATTGCTTCCAGCCTGAGATAAAGGGATCTTTGCTGAAGGGTAAATTGAAGTGCAGCCGGGCAAACATTGATGAGAACTATGCAAAGGTGCATCATGATGTTCTCCTGAAAACTGTTGATCACTGCTCCCCATAGAAATAGGATGTAAAAATTCTGTTGCCGAAGATTCAAAAGAAATCATGCCACTGCATCTTAAGTTACCCTCGTTGGCATCTGTAATAGACGGCAGCAAACTCTTGGACGCTTGGGGTTCTTCATAGAAGTAAGCTTCCACCGGCTGTGACTTCATTCCTTGGTGATCTGAACTTGTTGCTCCAGCAATATAAGGCAGTTCTGGTGCTTTAATCTCATTTTGCTCTTCAGTCACATCTGAATGGTAGTTACCTGAACTTGTTGCTCCTGCAGTGTAAGGTGGTTTGGGCGTTCTAATCTCATTATGCTCTTCAGTCACATCTGAATGGTTACCCGGGTCACACGATTCCTGGTAGTTCATGAATAGTAAGTCAAAACGGATCAGAAATTTATGGAGAACAGCTAGAAAACATTGAAAAGGTTGCTAATATAAAAATTTATGCTCAATTAACAACATTAAGTGAACATGTGCTAGGAGAAATACACAAGAACTGAGTCGTCTACAAGTGTCTCTTAAATGCATAGGATTAGAATTTCATTAATAGAATTATTAGCATCAAGCTAATGTCTTGTACGTCCACTAGTGACAACATATAGTATCATCTAATAGGCTCTCATGCACCCCCCACAA